TTCTTGCTTCTAATGCTCAGTCCTCCCGGGATCACTTTCTCGTGCCTTCGGTTAGCTGGGGGCGGCGGGCGGGCACGGCCTGTGCTGCGCAGGCTGCGTATTCCCCTGGTTTTCAGTACCTGGGCTCTCAGGCACCAGGCAGTGGCGGCCCAGGTTTGAATTAGCCGAACCCCAGATGCCGTCAGATTCATACCCTCAACCTGCCTGTCCAGTGATACTGCACTGGTGACGGGGTATGACTGCGTGTTCACAACACGAAACGGGCCTTACAGACATCCCCCCCCCCCCATCTGCTCCCAACAATGGGCTCTTACGCTTTTTCAACTCAACCCCTCCCCCACCCATGGGCAAAGCACCCCGGGCCCCCTCCCGCCCACCTGTTCCCACTTCCCGGTGGAAGAAGAACCTGGTGGCAATGAAGAACCTGGTGGCACCTTCGGAGGCCCGGCTGAACAACTTCTAACAGTCACGATCAAGCTCCGGAGGTATTTTAAATTTCTAGGGCATCCTTTTATCGTCTCAAGTTATGAGTCTATCCTTCTGGAAAAAGTTAATTGTAGGTCTTCCCTCTCGTCTTCATGACCACCAGCTTCTTTTTCCACAGGCGGTGGGAACGGTGGGAGGAAGGGGGCACGGGGTACTGTGGCCCACGTGGCGGGGGAGGGGAGGGGGTGAGTTGAAAAGGCTGAAGGGCCCATTGTTCGGAGCAGCTGGGCTGGGGGAGGGACGTTTGTGAGGCCCATTTTGTGACAACGCAGGTGTCGGGGTGCCAGGGCCCATAGGCATTTTTACACTTACATTGTCAAAGGGCGGGTGACCCCACTCGTGGTGGCCCGGCGCACCTGGGCTCCCCGAGGCCTGGGGAGGGAAGCACACAGCAGCTGCCCAGCACAGTGGGGCCTGGTGTGAGGCTGCTCCTCGGCCCCAGCTCATCCTGGGTCAGGAGGGGACCTGGCACCGGGTGTGGTGGGTGGGGTGCAGGTGCAGTCCGGGGGGGGACTCCGAGGCAGAGCAAAGCTCAAAACGAGGGCTTGTGCCGGCCCCGTGTCTGCTCGGCCCTCCCGCCAGCTCCTCCCTGGGTTTCTTTTTCTGAGCCTGGGGGTAAGGCTCATGGGAAGACTTGGTCACAAGAGCAAGGAGCGGCTGTGCCAGAGAGTACAGTACCGATGGGGGATGAGGGAGGAGTGAACGGGGGAGGTGAGGTTCACACCAGGCCCGGCTGAAACACAGACAGTGCCCGCCTGCTGGGTGCCAGCCCCGCACTGCCCAGCTGGCACTGTGCTGGAGGCAGCGCAGCATCCCTAGGTTTGCACCGGATTTCTCGATCACGGAGGCCGTGGGAGGGTTAACGGAGTTAACGCATGTCAGTGCACAGTGGGCCCTGGCCGTGTCAGTGCTTAGTGGTGTTAGCTGGGACTGTTACTGCTATTATTAGGGGCACCTGCTGGAGCCGACCAGCAGGCGGGAGAGCTGCAGGAGGGCAGAGGACAGCCGTGCAGGTGCGCACGTCAGGACTCGGGCGCCCACACAGCAGGGCCTCACGGAGGCATGCGGTGTGAACTGTGCAGCTTCCCCTGGTCCGGAGGCCTGGGCAGCCCTGCCTCAGTTTCTCACTAACAGGTGCCACTCGGAGGTGGGACATTTGGGACAAGGTGTCGGAGATGACGACAAGGAGGGAGGGCAGCCTTTGAGCAGAGCCACCAAGATCTGAACAAGGTGTGGCCCAGCCCCTGAGAGGTCACACGGCTCCTCGAGAGCTGGGATCTTGGCCGAGCCGCTCTCCTCTGGGCCGGCGTGGGGCTTGGGTTAGTTTTGGGATGGCACATAGGCCCTCTCCTTGTATGCCAACTCCGCCTGACGGGCAGTGGCCGCCTGGGGCTTTGTAAAGTCAAGAAATCAGGAGCCACCTGATTTGGGCAGGGCAGGGAGGCCCTTTACCAGATTCGTGATGCCTGCACGAGGCCAGGGAGAGGGCAGCAGTGGCATCTCGAGGCCACGTGCCCTCCTCCGATTGGCCCAGGGGTCCTCCAGCCTGGCTGCACCTCGGAATCACCAGAGGTTAACGCTCTGATTCGGGTGCTGGCCTGGCATTGGCCGTTGTTTGAAAGCTCCAGGGGTGATTCTAATGTGGGGCCGGGCTGAGCACCGCTGGGGGAGGTGCCCTAGTAACTAGGGCCTAGTTCCTCGCGGTCCTGAGCTCTGTAGCCTCTCGGGTACCTTCTACTACCCCGGGCTTTGCGCTTCCTTCCAGCAGAAATGACGGGAGGTAAGAGGCCACTCTCCTGTTAGTTTCACAGCTGGAGTAGCTTTCTGTTGAGGCTGGGAGATAGAGGCTGAGGCACTGGCTGCAATCGGGGATGGGGTACCGGGGGCCCCTTCTCGGGACGCACTGTGGAGTTTCGCTGGGGGAGGCTTTGCGTCTGGGGGACCTCCCGGGGTTCAGAAAAGCCTGGCTTACTCTGGCTTCGGCAGGGGGAGAAGGAAGCCGATGAAAGCTGACCGGGGCGCTGAGCCAGGGTGCCAGGCTCCGAGCTGGGGTATTAGGACCTCGGGCAGCCCCGGATGCCTAGAGTAAAGCCAGCAAAGACGAGATGTTTCTGGAAGGCCACCTGGGCCTCGGCCCCTCCATCAGCTCAGAACCCAGCCAGCTTTCCTCGGCCCCTCCCGTCACCCCCTGGGGATCTAGCCCTGGCATCCCAAGAAGCAGGTTATGGGGACTTGGCCTCCCAACCAGAGCAACATAGAAGCAATCAAATAACATAGAGTTCGGTAATATTTTAAAATAAGCTTTATTTAGATTTTTTTAAATATTTTATATTTGCATCCATGCCTTCGAGAAACCTTTCCCACGGGAGAGGTTATTTTCATCTAATGTTACCCATAACTCATTCGCTATTTGACGGAGTTCCCTTAAATAAATCATCCTTAGCAACTCTGAGAATTATCTCCTAATTTACAAAAACTGAAATGAAAAGGAGCTACTAAATCATTACCGGGAGTGGTTGCAATCTTATTTTCTCGTAAGGGAAAACAATAAAAATCAATCAAAAGAGGGAAAAAAAAAGATTCATGGGGGAGAAAGCGTTTTCTAACATCTCTCTCTGCAGAGAAAGACATGGGCTCTGGGCTCTCCGTTCACCGGCTTGGCCATGGGAGGCCGGAGGGAGCTTCGTGAGTGCCCGGCCTGCTCCCTCCCAACCCCGAACCAGGTCAGAAGGGAAGGGAGGGGCAAATGGGGGCTTTTCTGTTTGTTTTAGAGACTCTGGACAAAAGACCTATCCGTTCTGATAGAGACTCTCCAGCACGTGAAAATTTAGTGTCTTTGTAAGAGCTGAAAGTGTTACTGTTAGCAGAAAGCGCAACTACGGTTGTTGAGAGGGTGTGCGAACTGAGCTGTTAGTAGTTAAGGTGGAGCCGTGGGTGGGGATGGGGGGTGGGACTCACAGGCCAAGAGAAGAGGGAAGCTCGTTTCAGGCCTGGGGAGGCCCTGGCTTCCAGCTCACGTGATCTCCATCACCCCACATTTAATGCACCAGGTTCTTTGCCAGGAAGCCTCACTGGGGCCAACACAGCTCCCAAATAGGCAAATGTTCGTGCCCATCCTCTCTTCTGGGGCGAGCGGGCCAGGCGGCTGGGACCGCTGGAGCAAGGGCCCCGGGGATCCCGAGAGGTTCCGCTAAGTGTGGCTGGAGGGGCCAACCAGGACGGGGTCAGTGCCCCCAACAGCCCTCCCCTTGAGAGAGAACCCCCCCCCCCCCACCACCACCAAGGACACCTGCCTGGCCAAGGTGAGAGTAAACCAAGGCGGAGAGACACAGCTGCAGGGAGGAACGGATGCCGCAGGAGGGTCATGGGACTGGCTGCCTCCCCCTGTCTCCAACCTCACTCCACAGACAGATCCGAGAGAAGGGGACCCTTGTAGGATGCGCTCTGCTCACTGAGTACAGTGTTCTGTGGTTCAGATAAATGAATAGAGAGAGAAAGGCCTGGAGAGAGTGGGGAGAAAGGTGGAGCGCCCGTCCATGCAGGGGCGGAAGAACAGGGAGAGAGCAGGAGAGAGAACGGAAAAAAGCAAGCTTTGAAATCCCACGGTCCCTGGCCCCTGGCCCCTGGCCCCCCTCCACTCTACCTCGCTCAGTTTGGCAGCAGCATGATAAGAGAATAGACAAGTCAACAGAAACCCCCGCCTCCCGCCCGCCCCGTGGAAAAATATACAATTCCAATATTTATGTAATAATTTAGATAGAATACGTCTTCTGCATTTGTGCAAATAAATTAAACGGAACCATTTTCTGTTTCTTTTCTTTTTTTTTTTCCATAAAGAAAGAAATGGCAACGCAATTTAAAAACTGGCAGGCCGTGAAAAAGAGCCCGTTGGACCTCAACAAACCCAGCCAAGACAAGGCTCCCCCGGCCGGGGCTCCGAGAGGGACCTCACCCTGGCGACAGTGGCGTTTTGTGGCTAAAGTGACTTGAGCGCACCCCGAGCACAGGGTCTGGTCCCACACGTTCACACGGGGGCGGGGGGCACGGGAGACAGACCACATCCTCGGGGAGAGGGGCTCCGGGAGTAGCAGTTCGGACGAGGGACATGTACAAGCACGGAGTGCACAGTCGTTTTTGTTATTTACAAATACACAGCAGTCCTTCAAGTTTTCAAGTTTCATAGAAAGGAGGGGAGGGGAGGGGACAGGAGGGAAAAACACAACCCAACGAACCGAACGAAAGGAAACATAAAAACAAAAAGGGAACAAAAATACAAAACGAAACAAACCCAGATGAACAACACGACCGCATCGCGCCGAAGACGACAGAGAGTTGACATAGTCACACACGTTTGCAGTATGTACATCAATTACAGAGGGGGCGCCGCAGGGGGGAGGGGTCCCACGCGTCGGCGCCCGGCCCGCACCCAGAACCCAAACCGGCCAGGAAGGCCCCCAGGCAAACCCAAAACGAAAAGAAACCCCCGCCGGGGGGGGGGCCCCGGGGAGGGGGGGCGGGCATCACCAGTCCGCGTCCTCCTCTATGTAATAATCAGGGGCGGTACCATCAAACAGGCCGGGGTCGAGGGACTTCCGCTGCTTCCCTCTGGCGAAGACGCGGGAGATGGAGCCAAATCCCATCTTCTCTTTCTTCTTTTTCCGTTTTTGGTCTTCAAGATCCTCTAGTGACTGTTCCGGCCAAGCGGCAGAGATGCGGAGGAGAAGAACAGAGCCAACCTGAGCTGGGGGTGGGGCACGGGGGGCGGGGCCACGGTGGGGAGGGGCACGGAGGGGGCGGGGCCACAGCGGGGAGGGGCAGAGGGGGCGGAGCCTCCAGTGGTCAGGACTGCCAGCACTCAGTGAGGGATCTTGGGCCCATTAGGGACCCTCAGGGACAACAGTAGGACCCACCCAAGGCTGTCATGAGAATGTCACTAAAGTGGATAAAAATGCATAATAAACATTCCACAACGGCGAGCCGCTGTTTGCCCACAACCTTACTGGTACCTCCTGAGGGCTTGCAGGAGTGTGACCATGCACTGGGCCATGGCCCCGCCACAGGGGCACTGAGCAAGGGCACACCTTCCCTGTGAAAAAGCCCCCGTGGAAAAGGGGGCCTGGGAGCCTGGAGAGTGAGGACGGAGGAAACCGGAGCTTTGTGTCGGCCAAGGGCAAGGACCTTGAATCTGAAGTCCCCGGACAAGAAGCAGGACTGGCTAAGGTCGAGTGGGGAGGCGGGGGCTTGGGGTCTAGTTCTGATGATGGGATAACTACGGGGGTTGGGGGCTGGTGTCTGCCGGAGAGCTTTGTACAGCCATGGGGTACAATTCTCTGTCAAAAAGGCAGGGCTCAGACGAGACCCGTGGTCGGCAAACTGGCTCGAGAGCCACATGCGGCTCTTTGGCCCCTTGAGTGTGGCTCTTCCTAAGCCTTAGGAGTACCCTAATTAAGTTAATAACAATGTACCTACCTATATAGTTTAAGTTTAAAAAATTTGGCTCTGTTGACTAATGAGTTTGCCGACCACTGGACTAGACTAATGGTTCCTAAAATATGTTCCCTGAATTCCAGGCCCACCCCTCACATGGTGGATCCAGCTCTCAGGGTGAAGGGCCCAGGAATCCACATTTGAAACACTTCCCTGGTGGACCCTGATGGGACTTGCAGAGACCAGCATGTGCGAACCCCGGGACTAGAAAACTGATCCTAGAGACCCCTCTGACCCCCACATTCATGTCATTTTCCTCCCTGCAGATCCCCTCCTCACCCTGATGATAGAATACTGAAATGTTAAAAATGAATAAAAGTTTCCTGCAAGGAGGGGCCCCATGAGCTCATGGCTTGGCTCATCAGACTTTGGCTGCCAAGAGAAGACACTACCAGGGCAGCAGGATGGAGGTTGTGATGCACTTAGTAGGTTTACAGGTCCAGAGAGGGCACGGAAGGGCAGACCCAGGTGGGAAGCCTAACTCGGGCCCCAACCACATGTGACTCCTTAACTCCTCTCTGCTTTGGGTGCCCCAGTATGGAAGGGGGGATGCCAAGGGCCCAGGGGAACAAGGGATGAAGGCATGGTCAGGCTGGGGAGAAGGGAGGGCCCGAGAACCCGGGGAAGGCACACCTACCTGTACAATGGGGTTGTGCAGGTTCTTCTGAACTGGGCCGGGACTGTCGCCCTGTGGCCAAAGGAGAAGAGAAAGATGAAACAGCAGACACACAGGCCACATGAGAGCAGAGATGGTCCGTGAAAGGAAGCCATCCCTTAGGGACCACCTTGCCTCTAGGTGGGGAACCCACCCTCACCCCTGAAGCAGACACTCCCGCAGGGCTCAGTGGGGAGGGCCTGGGGCTCACTGAGAGGCTGCTGGATCAGGGCGCCTAGCCCGAGGCCCCGGGGTGCTCCCCTGCCTGTTCTCGACCCCCAATACCCTCTGACCAACAAATCAGTTACTCAAAGGCTTCTAAGTTCCTGCCCCGATTGGTCCATTGTGTTAGAACTGGAGGTTGGTTATACTTGGTGCTTTTCCTAAAGAAATAGAATTTTATAGAAAAAAAGGGACAAAAATAAAGAATTTTGGAACAGGAAGACTCAGGAAACTGTAACCTCTAACTCCTCCTCAAACACAATGAATCTCGTATTCTGTGGAAGGGCAGGACGCATCAGCCTGGTTTACAGATTCACAGGCTCCAGACGGTCCAGCAGCACCGAGTTAATTAAAAGCAGAAATACAATACACATTTGGGACAGTCTGGTTCCTCCTGGGCCAGTTCTCCTTCCTATAGTGTACAAAAGTGGAGAACAAAAGAAAACATACAAAACAAAAAGGAAACAAAACCCAGAATCAGTTTTGTTTCTGGGGGCAAACGGATCATTTTGATCATAAAAGCCATTACCAGGGAGTCCCCTGGTGGTTGTTTCCAGAATTGCAGGCAAAGTGCCCATGAAGAAACAAAGTCCGCGTTACTTGCCCTGTCCATCAACTTTCTCCAACCTCTCGGTGCTCAGACGCCAGCCACCTCTGCTCTAAATTAATGGCCAGAGCCTGAGGGGACGTGGGGAATGGGGGTCCTTAGTCCAGACTGGGCTGTTCTTGCTGTTGTCAGGTCAAATGCGTGAGAATAAAGAGTTCCCCGGAGCTATGTTCAGGCTCTTCCTGGCTCACCTGTGTGCACGTCTATTGATATGTGGCATGGAGGTGGTTGAGGGAGCGCGGGAAGGGAACAAATGGTAGTTTAGTGTTTAGTCCTATCTCAAGATGCACAAACAGAATTCACGGCAGGCACCTAAAACAGGTTTACTGTGGGTAGGGCTGGCCATCTTTGCCCAGTGTATGGGGAAGAGAATGAGGCCGGTGCCCGCTGAAATGCCTGTACCCAGACAACTGGCTTACCAAAGCCCCCGCGTCCCGCTGCAGGGCCCTGTGGGAGGTGACCTTGGAAATCAATGTGCCAGGGCCAAGTTGGGCAAAAGGCGAGGCCTGTGCCAATGCAATTCAAGAGGCTTTTAGAGAACCCTTTCTGCAGATTGGATTTTCCAACGGCATTTTGGCTGTCAGGGCCACTATGGGCCCAACAAGGGGAGACAAAAAAAAAAAAAAAAGAAAAAAAGAAAAGGCCCTTGCGAAGGATTCTCCTTGGGGCTGTGCACAGATACCAGAAGGTTCTGGGTGCGCTGTAAGATGCTGGCTGCGGGTACAACATAACAGTGGCCGCTCCGAATCAGAGCATAGACGTCAGAGCCCCTCTACTAGCAGTGGTCCACCTTCTTCACCTTGGCTCTGTCAGCCAAGACAGCCTTTGTCAGCAGGGTGCTCTCCTGGGGACAAGAGAACACACTGCTTCCTTTCATAAGGCCCCAGTCAGAAAAGAATCCCAGCCCCTAGTGGGGCCCCAGGCCCGCAGGCGACCTTCTCCCCATTACGACGTGGGCTGAACAGGGCCCCGGGCCAGCAATCCCGCTGCCCACGCAGCAACTTAAGTTGAGCCTCAGCTATTTTTATGAGCACTTTTCATTGTTAGTGCAGATAGGAAAAAACGTTTCCATTATGATTACTTGTATATAGAAACGTTACTGATTTTTTATAAATTGATTTTCAACCAGCACTGTTATGTACTAGCTTATTATTAGTTCTAATGGCTTTTCAAGGTTATTCTCTTGCGTTTCCCAGGTAGATAATCATATCGCCGGCAAGTGATGGTTCTTTTGTCTTTCTTCCCCACTATATTCGCCTCATTTCTTTTTTATTACTTATCTCGCTGGTTAATGCAGCAACATGGACTGAGGTTTTGAGAAAGCCTTCCCACGCATTTGAAGACCTACGCTAGTGTGCCCCTGTCTTCACTGTGTGGCAGGGGAGCCCTGTTATTGTCAACCGCGTGATGGACCGGGAATGGAGAGTGGCCCCCACACCCAACCCCAATATTTCATGTTGGAGCCTAGACAGGGTGGCGTCCAGTCCTCAGACCCCTGACCCACCTTCCTTCACCCTCTCACTCCTTGGGAGCCTGTCTGTCGCCCTACTAGTCATCAAGAGGTAGGGGGCTGGGGACATGTGCCTCTTGGTAGCTGGCCCCAGTATGCAATCAAACCGTGTCCGATTACATAAGCAGAGCCAACCAACTTAGAGCAAGTTCATGACAAAACGTGCCAAGGCTTCTGGGAGTCAAAACACTGGGGCTCATTCCTGGATGAAGATGGAGAGCCGGCCCTACAGGGAGAGGCAGCGTGCTGGGAAGGCTGATGCCTGGGAGGAGAGGCCCGCGGTCTCACCCAGCCCACCAGAGGGGACCCCGCGCTGCACAGACCCCACGCCGACCCAGGCCCGCCTTCCTCTGGATTTTCCTTGCCCTCCCGGACACAAGGAGCAAATGGGCCTCCTTTCTTTCTCTCCCCACATCCATCTCTTCTTGCAAAAGGAAAGAACAGAACAGGAAATGCCTCCGCCAGAGTGCTCCCTGGGTGGACGAGAGGAAAGAGCGAGTGCGTCTTCAGCCCTCCGCCCGCCCCCGCGGTTTCCGGGCAGGGCCCAGGGCCCAGGGCCCAGGCCCCGCTGCTGCTGGCCTTACGTTGCAGAGGGAGTGCGTCCGGTGGCGAGGGGAGTTGATGTCGCTTGGCGTGGATGACCGGTCGCCTTCGGCGGCAGACGCGTCGGAGATGACGGAAGGCTGCCGGGAGTGGCAGGGGCTCACCCTGACCGCTGGAAAGCAGGGACAGCTGGTGAGTGAGGGATGGAGAGAATGGCCTCACCTTGACTGCCTTGCAGGCGATGGCGCCAGCGCCCCGTTACACCCAGGAGAACACTGAGCTGTCGAGAAGACCCCTGCCCAGCTCTCCGCCCCTCTATTCTGCAGCCATCAGAGAGCAGTTTCCAGGAAGAGCCTCCCATCATCGCCTCTGGATCCACGTAGGCCCCCTCTTAACCCGGGTGAGGGAGAGGAAGAGGCGGAGCTCCCAGGGACCTCAGTTATCTGGGCCTGGGGCCCCACACTCCCCTAAGCAGCTCCAGTGGAGATGGAGAGACTGCCTTCCCCACTGGGTCGGAGGACCTCCAAGCAGCCCCACCGCGGTGGCTGGGCCCGCCGGCCAGGACCCACCTTGCCGGTCTGCAGGGTGCGGGGGGTGCGAGTGGTAGAGCGTCTGCTGGCTCTGCCGGATGGCTGCGGTCAGCGGCAGGTCCGCCTGCACCACCCACTCCTGGTTGCCGTTGAGCACGGTCTCGCCTGGCATGGCGAGTGAATGCCGCTTGGGGACGTCCTTGGTCAGCGTAGCTAGGGACTGCTTGGCCTGGAGAAAGAGCCAGGGGACAAGAGGACGCCGTGACCTCGTGGCCGGCTGCTCGGCCACCGCCCACCATCATGGGAAAACCACGAACTGGCCCCTGGGCCTGGGCATCGCCGGCTGCGTGAGTGCCAGACAGTAAGCCAAGCACCTGCACGGCAGGCCTCCCCTGGGTTACACCTTAGATCCTGACACCCAAGTGAGACCAGCAATACGGAAAGAAAGAGGCCCCCACCCTACACACACACACACACACACACACACACACTGTCACCCATTCTTTTGGGTTCTCTGAGGACTGGCTGGGACTTGAAGGACATTGTAAGAAAATGGTGTTTTGGCTTCCATCACTTTAGCTCCTCCCAAATTCAACCTGTGACCTCCCTTCGCAAGGTGCAGCGTACTGCAGGCTGGGGCGGCCACTCCTCCCCTGGCTCTCAGGGCCACGGGGCGAGGTGCGTGGGACACGGGAAGCCCAGGGACAGGGTGGGCTGAGTCAGGGCGGGGTGTGGTCGGACAGCTCGTCCTTTCCTCAGGCGGTGACAGGTCTCTGTCAGCTTCCGGTTACCTCCCCCCAGGATATGTGGGGTTTTATTAGAAACAACAGCAGATTGTTTTGGGGAGAAAAAAGGCACGTATTAGCGATGTATTAATGCATATTCATCACAGTCTATTTCCACTTCCTGGCTGGCTCCCCCGGCTCACACAGGGCAGAGGGGACACTCGGAGGGGCTCAAGGGGCTTGCGCTGAGCTCGCCGGTGAATCCGATGCCCAGGGGGTCGTTACAGATGGCAGAGCCACCGTGAGTGCTGGCTTCGCCCCTAACATGAACGCAGATGAAATGAAAGACTTCACCTCCCCTCTCCTGCTCCAGAACTTCCCATACCTTCCTTAAGGCCTCAGCCTCCTTCTGGCAGAGCGGAGATTCCAGCCCATAAACAGACAGTCCTTGGCCTCAAGCCTGATAGAGCCTCATCATGCGAACCAGCTGTTATTTTAGATACGTCACCGCCCTCTCTGAGCCTCCGTTTCCACATCTGTATAATGGAAAGCCTGGACCAAGCGATCGTTAGGGTTCTCTCCAGCTCAGACACCCCAGGAGTCAGTGAAATCACTTCCCTTCCACCACCAGCCCCTGGGGAATATAAACCTATATGGCAGAGGGAGGTCAAGTTGAGGGTGTCAGCCCCACCCCCGAGCCAGGTAATCATCTCCTCCCTTGCTCAGGAAACCTTCGTGTGCTCAGTGTGACAGCCTGGGTCTCAAGTAGGGAGTGTGCCATTATCTGTGCTTGACTGGGGAGAAACCGGAAGCTCAGAGAGGTTCAGTGACTTCTTTAAGATGCACAGCAGGCACAGCATCCAAGCTGGGCTCCAAGCCTGGGTGTCTGACTGCAAGCCCCTTGTGGGTTCCCAGGTGCCCACCCTCCGCTGGGACAGGAAAACCAGCATAAGCGATGCAGACCAGGACCAGGAGCAATCCCTCTGCCGCAGGAGCGAGTGAGGCTGGGAGTGGTTCAGAGCTGCCATATGCTTGCAGCAGCCCCGCTTACACAGACCGCATCACTCGGCACAACCCTGTTTTGACGCATGGTGATTGGTGTGAGGTTTCTCAGTCCTGGAACTGCTCGAGGGGAGTCACGTAGATTCTTTACGCCATATTTTTTGTGGTGGCTGAAAGGGGGCCACGGGGGGAGAAAGAGACCCCCGGGGGTGTCCTCCACAGCGCCAGTAAAACCCCCCCCCCCCCCCCGCCGCTTGCCCTCTCGCAGCATTCCCAGCCCCACACCTGGGAAGCGAGGAATGCCCAGTTGCCCCTGAAACAAGCGGCCCGGCCCGTTAAGGCATCGCAGAGAGAGGCCCGGGCAGGGCTGCTCTCCAGGCCCAACCGGCTTTCTTTTCCCAGGCGGAGCCTGCCCTGCCGGGGACTTGGAATGGCCCCTTCTAACTCAGCAGGCAGCTCAACATCACTGCTTCCTGACAACCCAGGGTGGGGGGCGGGGGGGGGGGGGCGGGGTGTCCCTCTAGGCTGGTCCTGAGGATGGAGCACAGGATCCTCTCCCAAACTGCCCGCCCACGACTTTAACCCTCGGGCACAGCTATGACGGAGACGGGAGCTGCAGGTGAGCGTGAAGTCTTACTAAAACCTGCATGCTTGCCCGGCTGGCATGGCCCAGTGGCTGAGCATCCATCTATGAACAGGGAGGTCATAGTTTGATTCCAGGTCCGGGCATATGCCCGGGTTGCAGGCTTAGTTCCCAGTGGGCGGCCCTGCAGGATGCAGCTGATCAATGATTCTCTCATCATGGATGTTTGTTTCTGTCTCTCTCCCTCTTCAGTCCTCTCTGAAATCAATAAAAAACTAAAAACCTGCACGCACACTGGGCCCGTGAGCTCCTGATTTCCTCCAATGTGTGCCTGTGCGCTTACACAAGCCAGAGTTGCTTCCTGCAGTTTTAAGCCAAGGACGTAAAGGGGTACCTGCAGGACGGTACCTCCCCTCTGGTCTCGCCCGGCCAGCGGTGCAGGAGGGGAGCTGGACCACACCGCCTGGCGCAGGCAGCCCCGGAGGCCTCCGGGTGGTGAATCCTGCAGATGGCGGTGGACACCCCAACAACACAGGGGCGGTCAGGGCTCTTAGGAAAGCCTCTTCCCTCTGGGTTTGAGCCCTCCTTCTTGTTATAACAAAGCCACCGCCCTGAGCTGCAGACATTCACTCTAACTCTTCACACTTAGCAAAGGGGTCTGATGCCTGCCAGAAGGAGGAGGCGGGGACCTGAGTTTTGTTGGCCAGAGGGAAGCACGTGGAGTGGTCTGGGCATGGGGACTGCGGGAGCAGAGGCGCTCTGGACCCCGGAATTCCCCAAGGATGCTTGAGGCCAGTGCGCCCAGGCAAGGAAGTCATGTCTGTCTGTCCCCCGGGCACTGGGCAGGCCTGGGAGAACAGGCGGGCAGCAGAGGCACCAGCACCGCTGACCCCACCTCCACCCCAAAGGGGACTGACAGCAGCAGCTTCCTCCGGGCCTGGGCAGTCCTCACCACTAGGGGTCAGCATCGGACAAGGAGACCCAGGAGGTAGGTGGCAGGTAGGTAGGGGCTGAGCTGGTCCCAAGAGGGACCCATGGATCCTGACCAGGGTGGTCCGAAAGGAAGTGACCGTAGAAAACCTTCGTCTCATATCATCCATCACCATGTGCAGGCACCAGACTGAGCACTTCCCTGGCGTTATTTCATTGACATCCTCCCAAGAGACCCAGGAGACACAGGCCATTACCCTATTTAGACCGATGAAACCGAGGCTCAGAGAGGTGACAAGTCCTGCATAAGATCACACAGCTAGAAAGTGACGGGGGCTGGACTCGAACCCAGAACCCAGGGCTGTAACCACACTGTCAGCATGCATCCGTGCTCTGCAGGCGAACGTGGAGCCAGGCAGCCCTCCCCAGCCCCCAGGGCTCCCAAGTGTTTCCCTGCCACTTGGTGGGGCAAACAGGGTGGGATGAAGACCCCCAGCCCCACGCAGCTCCAGATAAAGGGCACTGAAGCCCAGAGAAGTGCAGTGAGCGGCCCAAGGCCACACAGGAGCAGGCGGAGCAAACTCCAGGGCTCTGGGCCTCGGTGTTTCAGCCAGGCCCAGACACACCATGGCTCTCTGCTCCCACGTGCGGGCTGTGGGTCACCGCAGTAAACAGTTTTTGGGTGTATTTTGAAGGCTTGTTTTGGATTAGAAAAAAGTAACACTTTTCCCCTTGACAACCCAAATAAGACATTCTCACTGTAGATGAAAATAACAGGTGTGCGCGCACGCACACACAGACACACACACACACACAGGAAAATAAAACTCACTTGTAATCCTAGTACCCAGAGGTAACCATTGTTAATTTTTTTTGTGTATTTCCTCCCAAATGTTTTCCTAAACAAATCTATTTTTAAAAAAATGGGCTTTTATTTTTGCAGTAGCCTGGGGAGTGCGGAAGAGTGGATGGTCTCCCAGCACCCCATGCCCCAGGCCCAGGCAGGTGGGTGAGAGACTGCCCCAGGCTCAGGGGTTGATGTGGGAAGATGCCAATCATCACAGACCCCACCCCCAGCCACACCCCCTCCTGGGTCCTGCTTTGCCTGACTCCACTCCTTCACTCCAGGCTTCTCTGCACCCTGTCTCCCAGCACAAGTCCCACCGCCCTGCGTGTGTGAAGGCAGGGCAGGGAGGGGAGGGGCTCACCATAGCCAGCTCAGCCTCCAGCTCCTTCATCCGGTTGTCCTTGAGGTCCAGCTGGGAGCGCAGCGCCGTGGCGTGGTCCGTGGCCTCCTTGGCTTGGCGCCGGAGCTCCCACTTCTCCCGCTCCAGCAGGTCCTTCTCCTTGGCCAGAGCTTTGACGGCATCCTCGCTCTCCTGCGGGGGGTGGGAGGGCAGGGTGTCACATGGGGAGTGCAGGGCCTCCTCATGGCCCAGACGTACCCTGAGGGGCCCTGACCCCCGACCACAGAAGGCTCTGCAGTGGGAAAGCCCTGGGTTCGAGTCCCAGCCATGCCACAAACTACGGGGAGATAGGAACAGACACAAACCCTTGGCAGAGGCTCAGGAAACATTTTTCAATGACTCACTGAGCAAACGTTTGTCTCGGGGAAGTTGTTTGACTTCACCCAGTCTCGCTCTCTCTGTATTTAAAATGGGGCGGGGGGGGCCCAGCCGGCGTGGCTCAGTAGTTGAGTGTCAACCTAGGAACCAGGAGGCCACGGTTTGATTCCTGGTCAGGGCACCTGCCCAGGTTGCAGGCTCTATCCCCAGTGTGGGACATGCAGGAGGCAGCCAATGGATGATTCTCTCTCATCGTTGAGGTTTCTATCTCTCCTTCTCCCTTCCTCTCTGGAATCAATAATAAAATATTTCTGAAAAATGGGGGGAAGGAGCCAATACTATTTGTTTCAAAGAATTGTTATAAAGATTGAGTTCATGTGAGGGAAACATTTAAACAGAGTCCGACAAACGTTAGGGTCAGTCGTGGGTCTGAGGCTTTGTTTTGTTGTTTGGTAACATGTATGTGACAGAGAAGGAGGCAGCCCAGTCCCTGTGGCTGCCAGGGGCCCTGCCACCCCCCCACAGGGTCACAGCCCCCGATGACACAGGCTGGACCCTCGGCACAGTTCCCGGCCAGGCACCTGGCCCTGCTCCGGGCTGGGCCCCTCGCAGGAGCTCCGCTGTGTCATCCGGAGCCAAGTTAGCAGGCAAGGAACACGCAGCCGAATCGGGGCCCGACCTCTGATGCCCAGAGCCCAGGTTCAGGAAGGCAGGTGTCCTTCCCCAGAGGACGGTCCCCACAGGGGGCCCTGCCCGCCGCCTGGCCACGGCCTTCCCGTTCTCCACGTCAGGAGCTCACCTCCAGGTCTCCACGTGGCCCGGGACCACGGAGAGGCGGCCATCCTGCCTCGTCTAACAACCCTGTCGCCCACAATTGGTGAACCAAGTTCCTCGGCTAGCCGATCATAAACTCCTACTCATCCCACAGAGCCCAGCTCACAGCCACTTCCTCTGTGACGCCTTCCAAGACGGTCTCCCTGCCTGCAGAAGTCCCTGCCGCCTCACCGTGCTCCCGGCTCTCTGTTCACACACTCGTTATGATGTCATGAATCAGATGCAGAGCTAACACTCACTGAGCGCTTCCTGTGCGCCGGGCGCCATGCGGCGTGCTCTGCGCTCACCATCGCATTCGGTCCTCACACAGCTCCACAAGTCTGCACCGCGTTCCTGAGATGCCCGGGGACACACACGGGGAGCCAGGATCTGAACCTGGGCCAGCCTGTCTCCGGAGCCCCCACTGTCACCGCCTGGGCCATCCTGTCGATGTGTGTTTGCCCCGACGCCACGGAGCCCTCAGCTAGGAGCTGTGCCTGTTTCAGCTCAGTGCCCGGGCTGGGCGAGACACGTCGGAGGCCTCCCCAGTGGGCACAGGCGACATGAGCAGAGTCTCTCCCAAGGGGGATGGGAGAGGCCACCCTCGGGCCGGGCGTGGGGAGAGCCGGTGTCCGGGGAGTGGAGGGGCCTGACCTTGCGGTGCTGCTCGTAGTTCCGGATGAAGTCCCGCAGCTGCTCCTCGCGGCTCTCCAGCGTGGCGTACAGCTGCTGCATCTGGCTCACCAGGTCCGTCTTCTCGCCCTTCAGGCGCTTCCGGTCGGCTTTCATGGCTGGGGGACAGAAGAGCGCGTTAGTCCTGGGATCCTGGTTGTCTGCCGGCCCCGAACGCTGAGGAGGGACCCTATTTCGACATCCCCCCCATCCCCGGTTTTTAAATATATATTTTTATTGATTTCAGAGAGCAAGGGAGAGAGAGAGAGAAACATCAATGATGAGAGAGAATCATTGATCAGCTGCCCCCTACTGGGGATCAAGCCCGCCACCTGGGCAGGTGATCTTGACCAGAATTGAACCCGGGACCCTCTAGTCCGCAGGCTGAGGCGCTATCCACTGAGCCAAACCAGCTAGGGCATCGACCCCCTTTTTAACAGATGAGGAAACAGGATCCAGAGACATGAAGCTTCTCCCCCAAGCTCCCAGGTCACTCCGTGGCACTCTCAGGATTCGAACCCAGGCCTGTCTGTTGATAGAGTCCCTACTGTCACCTCTCAATTTTATTGATCCAACGAGGGCGGCACGTTTTTGATGACCCATCTATCCCTGCTTTGAACTGGCTGGTCCCCAATGTCAAGGAGTCGGAGGCCTGGGGAGCCTGGGGCCGGTGGGGTGTGAGAACCAGAGGGAAGCGCCAGGGGGTGGCTCCGAGGGAGGCCACTGACCCACGCGAAGTGACCGCCGTGGCGTCCCGGGAGCCGTGGGCGGGCTCTCTGTGCCAGTGGAGAGAAGCGGCTGCCAAGCAGGTCTCATGGGCTCCCGTGGGGGTCACCCCTCTGCCCCCTGGTTGGAAACGAATTCCCCTGGGCTCTGCTGTACTCCCTCAGCCTCACCTGGGTGGGAACCAGACTTCCTCTCGGGACTGGAGCTTCGGGAGGGGATCTCCCCCTCACAGCCCCGCTGGGCTGCCTTCCCTTTTGCCAAGTGGCTGTGGAGGGCGTGACGCTGCGGCCTCCATGGACCGCCCACTGCGCCAACCCCATGCACTGTGCACGCACTGCAGGAGCTGCGTGCTGCTGGCTGTTCCGCCATCGAAGAGGGCTGACACGAGCACACGTCTGCGCTGGTGGCCTCCGTAGGGGGCGGCGACTATGACTGGGGGTTCCCTGAGAGCAAGGGCCAGGCCTCTGCCTTCAGATTAGTAGCTGCCCCCTCAGACGAGAGTGGGAGCCGCCCCCCCCCCCCGCCACTATTTGTTAAGCACCTTCTGGGTGCCAGGCTCCATGCCTGGAGGGGACAGGGTCCCCATCTTTTGGGTGGTGGCAGGTCTGATCGAGGAGACAAGCCCCTATGCGCATGGGTGACCCGAGTCTCTGTCTACCCTCCTTCTTCCCAAGAGAACCCCGTGTTTGCTTGTGCCCAGTTACAACACAGCTTCCCAAGCTCCCTTGCAGCTGGAGGGGCACGTGTCCCAGTTCTGGCAACTGAGATGCACACAGATGTCTACTGGGCGATCTGCTGCGCTCTTTACAGAAAAGGTCACAGCGTCTCCCTGCCATTGCCTTCCTGCTGGGAGCACAGATGTGTGTTCGAGCACCAGGATGGAGACACAGGCTGAAACCGGGGGGCAGACAGACAGACAGAAGGAGCCTGGACTGCTGGTGCATTACCCAGGCCAGAATTCATTAGAACAGGAGAAAAAGAAACCCCCCTGTCTATGGGATTTCCCGTTACATGCAGCCCAGCGCACTCCTGCCACAAGGCAGGCGTGGGAAGTGCCATCACTCCTCCCACAAAGGGCTCCGCTGAGGTTCCATCCCACAGGCTCTCCGCTCTGGGCTCTGCCCACCGCTGGGCTGCAGCCTGCCAGGCTGAGGACGAGAAACACGAGCGCTGGGTCTCTGGGCACGAGCGCCAAGGGAAGACCACCTGCCAACGCCAATAAGGCGCCTCTGGAACCACGGTGGGAACATAGAAGGCACGGTGCTCCCACCTGTCAGAAGCCACGTGTCCACCACCTGCACGCAGAGGAGCAGGGCCTGGGAGCACGGGGACCCTGCACCGGGGTGGGGAAGTGGGTGTGGTCCCCACGGAGCTGGAATGACATTACTGCTGCCTCCATCACATGGGGTGTCGCTATAGAGGGCGCTGCTATTGTAACTACTTAAGAAACAAGGTTTGGCAGGGAACCCCCCAAGAAATGACCTCAGCGACATGCACGCGGCCATGAGCACCACACAGCGACATGCACACAGCCATGAGCACCACACAGCGACATGCACACGGCCATGAGCACCACAGTGACATGCACACAACCATGAGCACCACACAGCGACATGCACACGGCCATGAGCACCACACAGCGACATGCACACGGCCATGATCACCACACAGCGACTTGCATACAGCCATGAGCACCACACAGTGACATGCACACGGCCATGAGCACCACACAGTGACATGCACACGGCTATGAGCACCACATAGCGACATGCACACGGCCATGAGCACCACACAGCGACATGCACACAACCATGAGCACCACACAGCGACATGCACACAGCTATGAGCACCACAGCGACATGCACACGGCCATGAGCACCACAGTGACATGCACACCGCCATGAGCACCACATGCCTCCTTCCTTCCTTTGTCACAGGGATGCTTTTATTTCTGCCTTCAAACCATTTTTGATGTTCTCCAAACATTCCTCACACTTGCTGAGGTCTGCGAGGCATGACCGGCCTCCGCTCGCCTTCCCAGCCACCGGCTTCGCCCAGGCGTGCCCCATTCCAGCAGCCAGGCCGGTGGAACCACTGCCATGGTGACAGGTGATGCCACACCTGGCGGGCCCTGCGGGGTCACGGAAGGAGGCTAGCCTGGCTCCTGGGCGTGTGGGGACTCTGAGGTGGGAGGGAGGGCGTGTGCGGAGGGCCTATTCTTCTAACTGGGAGGAGGCCGGATGCACGCACGAGATGAGGGGTGTGATCAGGGCTCAGCTGCAGCCCCACGTCGATGGTACTTGTTGGGGGTGTCACTTTTCGCAGGCTTCTGAGGGGGCCTTGCCGCAGCAGAGTCGCCCAGATGTGGGGCAGTGTGGAGCGGCACCAGCACATATACCTTCTGCAAATGCCCCTCTTGGCGGGTGGGAGAGAGAGCAGGGAGGTCTCTGCACTGACCCTCTCCCCACGGGCAAAGCAGACCCTCCCTCCAAGGCCCAGGCAAGGAGGCCACAGCCCATACGCGAGGAGAACAGAACAGTAAACTCTGAGCTTTGGGGGCCTGGAAAGAGGGGTTTTGCAGGGTGCTTTTAGAGCACGAGGGGTTTCTCCTTGCCCCCCGGGCAGTGACTGGGGTTGGGGTGCTGGTTCTGTCTGTCCCGCCTCTGAGTCCCTGAGTTGTCACTTACTCCCAGGCCTCAGCTTCCTAGCCATTAAGGCGATCCCCACGTGCCTGACACTTTTCAAGCCTCTTACGGATCTTTGTCTCTGAATTCTCACAACCACTTATTAATTCATTCCACGTGACAGACAAGGAAGTGGCATCCATGGAGATTAAGGAACCCGGCCAAGTGGTGAGTGGCAGCGCCCACCTGGCCCCAGGACCCACCCAGACTGCTACCCTGCTGCCTCCAACACCTGCTGCCAACCCCCAACCACCTCCGCACAGCCCGGTCAGCCTCACCTGCTCCTCGGAGCTGGTGCTGGGGGTGGGGCTGCCCCTTCCTTACGGAGGAGGAAACGGAGGCACAGAGGGTTCCCTTACTCATCAAGACCCACAAGGCTCAAGCAGTGGACCTGGACTTGCATCCTGGACTCTGACCTTGAGCCCCTTCCACTCCTCCATCGACTCCATGAAAGCACAGCCAGCGGATGGCCCCGAACTCACACCATCACTCCCGCCAGGAGACGCTGTTCCTGCAGAGGCTACACCGTCCCAGGGGCTTCCCGAGGGATCCATGAAGGCGGGTTGGCCTTCTCGTGCACACCCTATGGCTGCTCAGTGTCTGCTGGAAGGAGGGAGGTGTGTGTGTGTGTGTGTGTGTGTGTGTGTGTGTGTGTGTAGTCACCCCCTCTTGCTTACAGGATCCTCAGCCAGCCCCAGACACAGCCTCATTCCACACGGTCAGATCTCCATTAGTCTGGCCTCAGAAGACCGCAGGCTGGTCCAGGATGGTCCAAAGCTAAGAGCCCTTGTAAACATTCCCAGCTGGTGGATCCCAGACAAACCTAGACTCAGAGGTGGGGAGGGGTAGGCCTTGGTCTGAGTATGACAATCCTAGCATCTGCCAGCAGGGGGCTCCCCTTTCTCTTCCAGTCAACATTCCTGTCCAGTTAAGCCTTCAGCATCTACAGATTCTGGGAAAGGAGGGGTGGGAAGGTGGGAGCCAGAAAGGCTTGGCAAACGACTCGGAATAAAAACTCACCAAAATGGTCTTACGGCTCAACTTCTCTTTACAGACGGGGAAACTGAGGCCAAGAGAGAGAAAGAGAATATCTAGTATCACACAGAGAGAATCAGTCAGCACAGGTCTCCTGAACCTTAGGCCAACACAGCTGGCTTTGGAGTCTGCCTATCAAAGCCTCAGTTTCCTCATCTGTAAAATGGGGTCTGACCGTATAGCCATTTCTGCTTGATACAGAACAGACTTGCACAACTCGAATGAACTAGTAGGGGCAGACCTTGAGCACTTGGGGAGGAGGCAAGTTCAGAGAGACACACGTTCAGACACACAGGGCCCTGGACTCCAGTCCAGTCTCTGCCCATCACCAGCTGGAGGGCCTGAGACACTGCACGGGACTCCTCTCAGCAAGTTCCCCAGCGGCCAAGGCTCCCTGTGACATCACCCGGCACCTCAAAGCAGCAGGCGGTCATTCCATATTATCGTTTCTTCCCATCTCCCCACTCCCCAGGAGGCCTCAGAATATACAGGTTGGCTCGACCGACCCGACTGGCTGGAATGGGAGGAGAGGCCCAGGGCAGGGAGAAGGAAGGCACAGCCCAGGGAGGGAGAAGGCAGGCACAGCCCAGGGAGGCACGTTCAACGCCCACAGACTTAGGGCCCCGGGACGGGAAGCTGGGCAAGGTGAGTTAAGAACAGGTTAGGGTTCAACC